CGCTGAAGCAAAGAGCACAGCAGGGGGCAGGGCAGTCTTCAATAGCCTTCAGCTCCGCCCCTGTCAACCCACCTCCACCAGGTCTGGCCTCCTTAATGAGAGCATTCAACACCCCCCCCCCCAAACTTGGTTGCTTCACTACATCGGCTATTGCTGCAAGTAATGACAGTGTGAATAAATTGTCAATATTTGCTTGAGATAGTGCTTGCAATTCTGGAGGGACTCTTAATATTTTGCGTCTCATAGACTTAGCATGGACATTTGGTTAACCAGTTAAAATTCATGAGTAAACTAGGTTTTTTTTAAAGTGAAAAATTTGGGGGGGGTTAACCCCTAGCGCCCCCCCCCCCCGGCTACAGGCCTGCCTCCAGGTGTTTTGGACTTGGAACACTCACAATTTCTAACAGCCTACCACTGGCTAGCCCAACATCGAGATGAATCAGACCATTTCAGGGGAGGCTTGAGGGTTTCCATGTCAGCAGATGGGGAATCCATTTGATGTCTGGAAACCAGGCTTTAAGGGAACTCTCCAAGGTGCTGAACCCCTTTGGAGCGCTCCTTTGGGGCTAGAACAGGCATGGACAAACTTTGGCCCTCCAGGTGTTTTGGAGTTCAACTCCCAAAAGGCTGTTAGGAATTGTGGGACTTAAGGTCCAAATAACCTGGAAAGCCGAAGTTTCCCAGATAATTTATTTCTATCCTTTAGTAGGGTTTATTTTCAATTTCAAAATATATTAGAGTAAAAAAATATACTTCTTCTTTCACTTTTTTAAAAACATATGTAAACTGCTTCAGTCTTGTTTTCCATTAGTAAAATTGCATTTTAAGGAATTCAGAGAAGAAAAAAACCATCCTTTAACCTACAGGACCATCTCAGCAAAACACATTTTGGTTGGAAAAAAAATATTTTGGAAAAGTCCTGGTGAGATCCAAGAAAATCTACAAATTAGCCCCCAAAAGAATGGATCGAGTGAACAGAAACAGTACAATAATCTACAAACACAATGAAAATGCTTACTTCTTTAGACCACTCAGGAATACCATGTATTTTTAAAACACAGTAAGTTTTCACAACTTGCAATTTTCGATACATATTGGAAACATTTAGGGAACAGGTCAAAGTTTAAACATGTAAGCAGTGTCATTGCTTCACGTTTACACATGTAAACAGTGACATTTAATCCATAGATGTGGGTGAAACATCAGAAGAGCATGCTTCTGGAACATGGCCATACAGCCCTGAAAACTCACAGCAACCCAGTGATTCCGGCCATAAAAGCCTTTGACAACACATTCTCATCATTGTTAAGTGATCCCTAACAGCAATAGGTAGTAAGAAATATGTCACCCAACCAAAAGCACATTCACTCAGAAGTAAACAGAATTATGAAGAATTTTGAACAAAATCCAAACTGAGTACTTCTTGTCAATGTCCAATTAAAAGATTGCAAGGGCAAATATGTCAAATATTTCCACGCATGTTGGACACATGTCTGTAATTTCATGCATAAAACAATAAATGTCTGCAGAAACAATCATCTACATAATGGGGATTGAAATCAGAAGATCCTGCAGTTTTCACTGGATTGCAATGCCCATCAAGCCCAGCCAATAATGGCAAATGCTAGGAGTTGCAGTCAAGTACCTGGCACAATTTCCACCCCAATATATTGTAGAATAGTGACGTGTGAAATAGTGGCTAGGTTGCATGAACTGATCCTCATTTGGACAATTCTGCAAAATACCTGCAGATGGAGATATAAGTTGATATGACAATCTCTTTTTCCAACTATCAAACTCCACAAAGATTTATCTGAAAGCTTTCCACATATCAATATATTTTTCCCATTCTATAAACCAACCTCCCATTGATGGTGCTGTATTGATTGGCACTAAAACACAGAATCTCCCCCCCCCCCCCAAGAGAAGATGTTTTCACAACAAATGGAGTGGTGCCACACACACAAAAAAATATGTTTGGGGCAGTTGGGTAATAAGTACTTCCATAGCCAACAGCCACTTACTACACAATAGTTACCATGACCCCTTGGCTTCCCTCCAGGACCATCTGGATACCAAATCACATGGATACTCAATTTCCATTACAGACAGTCCCCAAGTTACAAACATCTGACTTACAAAAGACTCATAGCTAACAGGAAGTGAGAGAAATCTACCCCTAGGAAGGGAAATTCACTCCTGAAAGAGTTATTCTCCTGGGGGAAAGGTGTCTCCACAGAAGCTTTATCGCTCATCTTTGTTTCCACAAGCCATTTTTTTCAAAATCCCATGAGCACAGGGACAGAAATGGAGGTGACATCTTCTGAACGGGGCACAGACAGCAAAACAAACACCACAGGACCTCTTCCCTATGCTAACCAAAACATACATATACACACACACACACATATGGCTGGAGTTACACTTTAAAAATGTATCTTTTCAACCTACAAACAAATTCAAATTAAGAATTTAGTCTATCTTGTTTGTAACTTTGGAACTGCCTGCATATGCAATGGTGTGATAAACTGCTGTCCTCATACAAAATGACATAATCATGGTTTGCTTTCTGGAATGGTGGTGGTGGAATATTTTCAAACTGAGATCAACTCCATGGTCAACTATATTCTGTAAAGATTACGATGAAAGGCAGTGTTGTGTATTGTGAATATAAGACAAAAGGATGCACCTACACTATAGAATGAATGCAGCTGACGTTTTATAAGGTTTTGAACCATCACAAAAGATTGGGAAAACATCCAATGTGGGGAACTACAAAGTGCTGGCTTCATTCCAAGAGGGGTTACTTGGAAAGGCTACCCAGGAAGAACGACCTGCCCTTGGGAAGGCTCTTAGGGCAACCCTATGCCACTTTGCCTTGTCTCGCAGGCAGGCTGTTCCTCCTCTTGGGTAAAGATGCATCTATAGTGTAGAATTAAAGGAGCCTGACACTGGATCTGCCATGACTCCAGGGTATGGAATGAGAGAAACTGCAGGGTTGCTATGAGTTTTCTTGGCTTTATGGCCATGTTCCAGATGCATTCTCTCCTGACGTTTCATCCACATCTATGGAAGGCATTCTCAAAAGTTGTGAGGTCTGTTGGAAACTAGGAAAGTGGGGTTTATATATCTGTGGAATGTCCAGGGTGGGAGAAAGAACTCTTCTCTGCTTGCGGCAAGTGTGAATATTGCAATTAATCACTTTGAATAGCATTGCAAAGCCTTGAAACATCTTCAAGGTCTGGCTGACTCTGGGGGAATCCTTCGTTGGGAGGTATTCGCTGTCCCTGATTGTTTCATGTCTGGAATACCCGTCTTCTGGATGTTGTTCTTTATTTACTGTCCTGATTTTATTTACTGTCCTGATTTTAGAGTGGTAGGCAGATTTTGTTCATTTTCATTATTTTTTCCAGCACCTCACAACCTCTGAGGATGCCAGCTGTAGATATTTCCTTCTGGAACATGGCCATACAGTCCAGAAAACTCACAGGAACCCAGTGATCCCGGCCATGAAAGCCTTCAACAACACAGAGAAATTAGAGTTTGGTGAGGAACATGCACTTTGGGTCAGACGAGGCTAAAGACCTTGTGAAAATACAACTCCTATGATTCTATAGCATTGAGGCATGGCAGATGGAGGGACAGCAAACCTAAGCCTGGGAGATGCAGTTCAGCGAGGCACCTGCAATCTTTGGAAGAGAAAGCTGGTGAAACTACAACTCCCAAGCTTTCATGGCACTGAGCTAGGGCAGTTTAAGTGACATCAAACTGCTTGAATTCTACATCCATGGTGAAAACTGCTCAAGATAGATGTTGTGCACCAGGTGAGAGACACTGAATGAGAGACATTGCAGTCTGGGGAGGCACCTGCACTTTGGGTCAGAGGAGGCTAAAGACCTTGTGAAACTACAACTCCCACGATTCTATAGCATTGAGCCATGTGAGATGGAGAGACAGTAGACCTAAGCCTGGGAGGTGCAGTTCGGTGAGGCACCCGCAGCCTTTGGCAGAGAAAGCTGAAGGCCTGGTGAAACTATGAAACTACAACTCCCAGGCTTTCATTGCAGTGAGCCAGGGCAGTTCAAGTGACATCAAACTGCATGAATTCTACAAGCCAGACAACTTCTAATTGTGGAAAGTATAATGGGTTGTAGGCTGTTAGGAATTATGGGTGCTTTTATTGTGTCAGAAGCAACTTGGGAAACTGCAAGTCGCTTCTGGTGTGAGAGAATTGGCCATCTGCAAGAACGTTGCCCAGGGGACACCCAGATGTTTTGACGTTTTACCATCCTTGTGGGAGGCTTCTCTCATGTCCCCACATGGGGAAGCTAGAACTGACAGAGGGAGCTCATCTGTGCTATCTCCGGATTTGAACCTCCGACCTGTGGGTCTTCAGTCCTGTCGGCACAAGGATTTAACCCAGCCATCCTCAAACTGTGGCCCTCCAGCTGTATGGGCCTCCAATTCCCAGAAGCCCTAACTAGCTTGTTCAATTGTCAGGAATTCTCGGAGTTGAAGGACAAACCCACTGCGCCACCGGGGGGGGGGGGGGGGGGGGGGGGGGGGGGGGGGGGCGGCTCCAGTCCTGAAGTCCAAAACACCTAGAGAGCTGAAGTTTGCCCATGCCTGATCTAAATGCACCCATATGGATGTGGAAAGTGGGAAATGTGGGAACTGAAGTCCTACAACAAAACAAAAACAACAAAACTTTATTTATATACCGCTCTATCTCCCCGAAGGGACTCAGAGCGGTTTCCAAATAACATAACCAATATATACAAGAAAAACAGCATAAACATAAAATTAACAAGACAATATAAGCATTAGAAACCACAATGGCAAATAATCCTGCCCCTAGTCCTAGAGCACCTGGAGGGTCCAAGTTTGCCCAGGCCTGATCTGGATGCACCCACGAGGTCTGGCGCCTCCTCCCCAAGAGCCAGCCCCCCCCCTCCCTGGCGCCTCAGCCCTGAGCTCTGGCGGTGAGGAACCCCGCTCACCTGCGGGCGCCGTCGTCGGGGCATCCTCCTCCGGCTCCTCCTCGGCGGCGCTGCATGGCGGCGGGGACGCAGCTGGTGAGCTCGGTCCAGTCGGCGTGCAGCCCGCAGCTCCACCCGGTGGAGAAGCGGGAGAAGAGCCACGTGTCGCCCTTGTCGGCGCCGGCCGCTTCGCCTTCGCCCTCTCCCGGGGCGTCCCTTCCCCCTCCTCCTTCCCCTCCTGCTGCTCCGGGGCGGCGGCAGAGGCACCTCTTCTGCCCGGGCCGGCAGTGGCAGGGCTGCTCGAGGCGGATGTTGCGCACCAGGTGCCTCCCGAAGGTGGTGCCGCCGGTCTTCTGGATGTGGAGGAAGACCATCACGTCGCGGCCGCGCATATCGAAGCGGAGGGCCGGCGAGAGGGGCCTGCTCCGTTCCCCCGCCGCCGCCGCCTTCCCCCTGGAAGTGGGCCCTCCCGCGCAGCCCGGGGGCCCCGGCGGGGGCGCCTCGGAGGGGAGCAGCAGGAGGAGGAGGAGGAGGAAGAGCAGCGCCCCCAGCAGCGGCACCAGCAGCCAGCGGCCCAGGCGCTCCTCCATGGCGCTCAGGCGGAGGGCGGCAACGGCGTCGACGGCCGCCTTCCCCGCTCCTGCTTCCCGTACCGCCCCCACATTGCGGCGGCGCCCAGGAAGGAAGGAGCGCGCGCTCCTCTTCCCCGGCCTCCGCTCCGCGCCTCGCGCTCCTGCCCAATGCCGCCCGCCTCGCCGCCTCGCGCTTGCTTCCCCCCTTCTCAGAGCTTGGCGCCGCCCAGCCAATCCCGGGAGAAGACTCTCTCCCGCGCCGGCCAATCGCCGAGCGCTCCATGCCGGCAGCGGCTGCCAATAGAAGACCGTGGGAAAATAGCTCCGCCCTCTCTCACGTTCCATCCAATCACGATACTCTGTCCGATAAAGGGGCGGGGCGGGTGTGTGGTGCTGGCCAATGGCGTGGAAGGTGTGTTGGTGGAGAGGTGGGGCCGAGCGCGGGAAACCTGGAGGCTGTGTCAGTCTGTTCTTTCCACGTGGCGGAGATGCATCTCTGCGCTTCTTGAATATGGATTTATTTCATTTATTTTTTACGACATTTATATGCCGCCCTTCTCACCCCGAAGGGGACTCAGACCGGCTTACAAGATAGATAGATAGATAGATAGATAGATAGATAGATAGATAGATAGATAGATAGATAGATAGATAGATAGATAGATATATACACACACACACACATACATACATACATACATACATACATACATACACGCGCATGTATACATACAATATATCAGTGGTTCTCAACCTTCTTAATGCTGTGACCCCTTAATACGGTTCCCCATGTTGTGGTGACCCCCAACCATAAAATTATTTTCGTTGCTACTTCATAACTGTAAGTTTGCGACTGTTATGAATCGTAATGTAAATATCTGATATGCAGGATGTATTTTCATTCACCAGATAAAATTTGGCACAAATACCCCATACATCCAAATCTGAATACTGTTGGGATTGATGGAGGGGATTGATTTTGTTATTTGGGAGTTATAGTTGCCAGGATTTATAGTTAACCTGAAATCAAAGAGCATTCTGAACTCCACCAGCGATGGAATTGAACCAAACTTGGCACCCAGAACTCCCATGACCAACAGAAAAATACTGGAAGGGTTAGGTGGGCATTGACCATGAGTTTTGGAGTTGTAGTTCACCTACATCTAGAGAGCACTGTGGACTCAAACAATGATAGATCTGAACCAAACTTGGCACGAATACGTAATATGCCCAAATGGGAACACTGGTGGAGTTTGGGGAAAATATACCTTGACTTTTGTGAGTTGTAGTTGCTGGGATTTAGCGTTCACCTACAATCAAAAAGCATTCTGAACCCCACAAATGGTAGAATTAGGTCAAACTTCTCACACAGGACCCCAATGCCCAAGAGAAAATACTGTGTTTTCTGATGGCCTTTGGTGACCCCTCTGACACCCCCTCATGACCCCCTCAGGGGTCCCGACCCCCAGGTTGAGAAACACTGCAATATATTATATTATTAGCATTGTACAATATCAGTGTTATATATTACTATATTGTACTAGACCATTATATTGTAATATTATTAATATTATTACATGTAATATAAAATGTATAATTATAATATCATATTATTATTAATATTATATTGTATTACATTATAACAGGGGTCCTCAAACTAAGGCCCAGGGGCCAGATACGGCCCCTCAAGGTCATTTACCCAAATCACTCAGGGTCAACCTAAGTCTGAAATGACTTGAAAACAAACAACAACAGCAACAATGCTATCTCATCAGCCAAAAGCAGGCCCACTCTTCCCATTAAAATACTACTAAGTTTCTATTTGTTAAAATTGTTCTTCATTTTAATTATTGTGTTGTTTTAAGTGTTTTTTGCATTACAAATAAGATACACGCAGGACTGTGACCTGGCCCTTTGTTTAAGAAGTTTGAGGACCCCTGCATTATAACATTATAAATATTATATGTATATGCAATATATATTACATTATATTATATCATTAGCATAGCACAGGAGACAAGGTGGAAGTGTCTTCTGGCCTCCTCTCTCTTCATTCTGGCCCAGAGCGGCAGTTGATGCTAGGAGGAGGGGTCCGCAATTGATGACATATGCAGGAGACAAGATGGAACTGTCCCCTGCCCCCTCTCTCTTCACTCTGGCCCAGAATACAGTTGGACTGCCATGGCTCCATGCTCTGGAATCCTGGGAGTTGTAATTTATAGAGGCACCTGCACTCTTAACAGAGGCGGCTAAAGACCTTCTCAACTATACAACTCCCATGATCTGTAGCACTGAAACATAACAGCTAAAGTGGTGTCCACCTACAGTAATTCTACATTGTAAAAGATGCAGTTGAAACCAGCGCCCAAAGTGTGCACCTTCTTAAAGTGGAAGAGTCCCCACCCCCACCACACAGCCCCTAATGCCACATCAGTGCAAAACCACAGAGTTCAACATAACCACAGCTCTAAGATAAAAACTATCTTTCAGTCTGTCCTTGTCTTTATCAGCCTGTACCATCTGCCAGATAGCAATAAATTTTTTAAAAGGAAATTTAAAATGTTCCTTCTCAGAATTTCTTGGCCTTCCAGCCTGACTCTACTTCTTCCTCTAGCTATGTTGGAGGACTTAGAGATTTCTAAGGAGAACAGCTCTCTAGGAACCTCTAGAATCTTCAGCACAAATCTATGGTCAGCTTCCAATGGAAGTCGACCATAGTCATGCCAGAAGATCTAGACATTTCTAGAAAGGTGTTCCCTCAAATAATAATAAAAAAATCAAATTGTGGTTTTTCTCTTTCATGGAGGACCGGTGCCCCTAACCCTAGGGAATGTGGAAGCCTGACTGTATCTTCTTAATGGATATTTATGCTGCCTTTCATTCTGTGATGGTTTCCAGGCCACCTTGTACATAACCACAGATTCTTCAGTCATTGATTCCAGCATCCATGGCTTAAAAAATCCCTCCTCCTCCCCCCCCCCAAATAAAAACCCCCTTGATTTTGACATTTGATATAAGAAGCAACATTGTTAAGCAGTCAAAAACATGCAAGTATTGAGCAGTTTTCAGAAAAGCATAGTATGCATGCATAGAAAACTTATGAGAATGGTTAGAGGTGATGATGTGTGTGTGTGTGTGTGTAGGGGGGGGGGGTTATATGCAGAAAAACCTAGCTATTGTTGGATGAACTGTTAAAGAGTAATAAATGAGATCACTTGGAGATAATTTCTTTGTTACCTGAAGATGCTGCTATGTTGTGAAGACATATCTAGAAAAATGCCAGTGTTCTATCCCTGTGCTATTATTTGTCTATTAGAAAGAAGAAAAAGAACTGACATCTTTATATCATACAGTATATGGATATTTGGATCTGACAAGATGCAAGGATTTGTTGTTTCACATACAGTCTGTCTTGGAATGGTGCTCTCCAAAGTGCTGAAACCACTGGAAAAAAATATTCAACAACATGGGGAAGTGAGATCCCTTTAATTCAAATCCTCTCCAACACTCTTGGCTATTTTTAGAAATGTGTGATGATTTTGTGTGGGTTAAATGCCATCTGTATAGAATTATGTATACACCGTAGTTGTTTCTTGATTATACCAAGATGGATTTTAAGGGCTTTGATTTCCCTTAGTTCTTCCCATTAATTCTTCTATTGAATGACCTAAATCCTCTTCCCACGTTAGTATATTTGTGGAAACTATGATGCCAGGAGGAGCAGGGAAACAATTCTTTTCTGAGGGATTGTGAGGAGGAGGATATTTTAAGGAAAACTGAAAGTCATTGTGTTATTCTGGGAACCTAAAGTGCATTTAAAAAGTCCAGGATGTTCCACATTTTGTTCTTCTACACCCTAATTTTATTTTGGAGATCTATATTTGTATCCATGTCTATTTCCCTGGAGTATTTTAGCTGCTCCGAGTCCCTTCGAGGAGAGGGGGTGGGATATAAATAAAGCTTATTATTGGGTTGCTAAGAGTTTTCCGGGCTGTATGGACATGTTCCAGAAGCATTCTCTCCTGATGTTTGGCCCACATCTATGGCAGGCATCCTCAGAGGTTGTGAGGTCTGTTGGAAACTAGGCAAGTGAAGTTTATAAATCTGTGGAATGTCCAGAGTGGGAGGAAGAACTCTTGTATGTTGGAGGCAAGTGTGAATGTTGCAATTGGTCACCTTGACTAGCATTTAATGGCCTTGCAGCTCCACAACACAAAGTTTATTATTTTTATCATCATCATCATTAATACTGCTTTCGGTGCAATCAGAGACTTTTTATACCTGCTCCTCAAATCAGTTTGTTTGTGGTTTGTTGTAGGTTTGTTGTAAGTTTTTTTCGGGCTATATGGCCATGTTCTAGAGGCATTCTATTTTATTCTCTTCTATTTTATTTTAACCCAGCATAAAATCATAAAAAGAACTATAAATCTGGGATGTTTCAGTCAATCTGGGTGTATCCATAGTTTGCCATAAAAGTATTATGTGCAGTCACTTGAAAGCTACCAAGTCTTGAACCATGGGAAATTCCTGAACTACAGATATATTTTGGTTAATGAAGTACAAGGGGCAGAAGTACCAGTAACATGAAAATAATCAGATAGATTCCTAAACTACAAAAAACAAAAGCAGTTCTACGTGCTACGACAAGCCTATTATTCAAAGCAAAGACTGTTCACATTGATATGGAACAATGATGTTAGGACAGGACGTTTTAAACCTTCCAGGTGCCATTTGATTCAATTTCAACACGCATCTGGAGGTCACATATTTTTTCATTTGCCTCCACTTTTCTGATGATTTCCACTTTGGTGGTCAAGCTACAAAATGTTGGTGGAAGCTGGCAAGCAGGCTTATCTGCCATTCTCTTTATCTTCATTTTGCTCTTCACTCAGTAAGGGATTCTGGAGGCCGCTTGCCTTGCTGCAACCTGCAACTCTAAGTCTGTGTTTCTACAGCCATCTTTTGCCTCCCTTGCAATGTGAATGCTGATTAAAAACTACAGTAACAGAGAGAGAATGAAGAACAAAGTGGGGAGGGTTGTTGTAGGTTTTTCAGGCTGTATGGCCATGTTCTAGAAGCATTTTCTCCTGGCTTTTCACCTGCATCTATGGCAGGCATCCTCAGAGGTTGTGAGGTCTCATGGCCATACAGCCTGTAAAATCTACAACAACCCAGTGATTCCGGTCATGAAAGCCTTTGACAATACAAAGTGGAGAGGCATAAAATCTGACATAAAATGGAGATTCACTCTAAAACGATGTG